CTTAAAATTCACAGAGGAAAAGAAACATTAAAGGACAGTTGCAAGACGGTTGAATTCCCAATGCATTTTGAGTAAGCCTTTGTCAAGGAAAAAATTCTCATATTTGTTTCTTAAGCAACCTGCTTAAGGTAACTGCAATATGTAGCTTTGATTGAGCAGTTTTCATGGAGGAGCAAATGTGAGAATTTCCCCTTGATAAAAACATATTTGAAATATGCTGGGAACTTACCAGTTCTTGAAGCTGTCTCTTTGTGCTTTCTCTTCTCAGTGGAAGTTGTCCCTGTCTGAGCCATCCAGCAGCTGGCTGTGGCCTCCATCTGTCAGGTATGTGGAGGGACTGGCACAGAAGTGCCAAGCTTGCAGTGCTGGTATCCCTCTTTAAATAGCTCAGTGTCCTGAGCTGGATAGTAGATGGTGCAGAGCAGGGTCTGGGAGCTTTGAGCCACTCAGCCTTCTGGGAGCTTTGAGCCACTCAGCCTGAGTTGAGGAATGAAAACCAGAAAAAGTCGCCTTTCCTGATCCTTCCCAGCTGTCAGGGTTGTGTAGATGAGGCCTTGATGTTATGGAGGACCTTTAACAGGAACTGTGTTTTGCAGCACAACAGCAGAGAAAATAAAATGGTATATGGTCTCTATGAAACCAAAATTTCATAACATCATATATTTAGATTTATAATGCACAGTTACTGGGTCAAATATGTTGGTAGGAATAGATTTGCTAAGTCTTGAAGTATGTGATTTGTACACCAACTGAATATTAGTAATAGGGGTGTGATTTTTGTTTTGTTATATGTTAGTAGAACTAAACAATAATTGAAAGTATTGGTAGCATCCTTCAGTTAACTTGTAGAGGGAGCAATCCACTTGTCCCTGGATGAAGCTGGCTTGAAAGTGAGGAATAGGAGATTGGATTGCCTGCATCACTCTTTACAGCTGCTGTGGAGAGAACCAGAGCAGTTACCACTGTGAAGTTGGAAAATCAACCGCAGAAAGAGTAAATCAGGGCATTCTAGTGAGTGGGATAGGAAGGAAAACAAAGAAGCCAGGATACGAATTGTTCAGAGTGTTCACCAGCCTCTTTTTCTCCTGTTCCAAAATGCCTTCTCTAGATGGCTGATGGCTCTTTAGTAAAAAATAAAAAAATGAAAAAAATCAAAGAATGGAAGGCAGGGAAGGTTGCTTTCACCATCTCTCCCACTCTGCCAGCCTCAGCCCTGCAGAGCAAAGGCATCTTGGAAGCTCCCAAATTCAGGGGCTCCAAAGCAGTGAGGACACATTCAGTGGAACTGCACCTTCAGGCAATGCTGTACTTTGTTCATCATGGCAAGATAGAACCTCAGCCCCATTATCTTGACACATAGGAACAAGATTCCAATCCTCCCAATTGTTTCTGTGAGGGTGATGCCATTCTTACTACCTGGAGATAGATAATTTTGACTTATTAAACTGTTCCCTTCAACCAATAATGTATTTTCTTAGAAGACATACATTTGGTAAATGTCTCCTAGACTGGGGTAGGAAATGCTTGGACCTCCCACTGTTGGATTGCAACTCCCATCATCATGCAGTGTTCTTTATGCTGACTGATGGGAGTTCCACTTCACCAACAAGTAGAGGGCTCCTGTCCCATGCTCCTTCCCTAAATTAATTGTTCCCCATGATTCATTGACAGAATTTGTATAAAGCCTGATTTCACAATGTAACTGGCTTATAGTGAATTAAAATGTCAATGTGTATATTGCAGTGTCTTAGGTAAGTTCTATCAGTTAAAACTGCCTTATTGGAACACGTTTTTGGAATGTGCAAAAGAGGTTATGGACAAAAGCAATTGTGTCATCCAACCTTCCTTAACCTGGCACTCATCAGATGTGTTGGATGTGTTGCAAGTCCCATAATTACCAACCAGCATGGTAAGGCTGGGTGCTAATTGTGAGGATTATAGTGAACACATCTTGACAGCTCCTGGTTAGGAAAGGCTGGTCTAATCTCTGCGATCTTCTCTGATGGAGAAGGGGGAGTTTCCACACACGGATGGTGTTAATGTATAACATTTCGCATGACCCTCTCCAAGTCTTCAACCCATAAGCGCATTTTCCACATGGGACAAGTGTCTATGGATTCTGGTTATAGAAAAGATTGAAACTGACTAAATAGTGAATTGTGCATGAAGTGAAATTATCAAAAGCCTAACATCTTACTTTTCAAATATATTTGTCACTGTTGCTAAGTGAAAAGTATCTGGTGTATTCTCGAGTTTCTACTATCTGGTGTATTCGCCAGTCTCTAAAACTGCAAAAATAATTTTGACCCCATTTTAACCTAATACATTTCCCCCTATTAGAACACATGGTAAAATGAGCCAAAGGCATTCTGACAGAGCATTTCTTGCCAGAAATCATTGTATGTTTGCAATCATGAAGGCCTTATTAAGTTTGATGGGGGTGGGGAAAGACTGATTGGCTGGAATTGCTTGAATAAGCAGTTATAGGTCAAGATCTGACAAAACTTATTTTTCAGATTTTTATTTAGGAAAGTATTGCTTGGAGTATTTCATTTCATTCCCCGTTTACCCAGTTCAGGCAATGTGAGGGAATTTTTGCAAGCCAACATTCCTCTCCATGCAACTTTGAGAGAGCAGCAGTTCCCTTGGAGAGTTGAAGCAGTGTTTGCCCATCCTTGTAAAGCATTTCACCTCTTCAGAGGCTAAAGCCTCTCAATACCAAGAACAATTAAAGCAAGAGCCTTTTGGAGCGACTAGGGAATTCTGCAAAATAAATCAGAAATCCTCTTCCTTGGCTCTGGAGGGTTGCCTCATTATAAGAGCAGATCTATTAGCCCCCTTGCCATTGTCTTTCATTTCTCAAGTGAGGTGATTCTAATTAAATTAATCTGCATGTCAATCTATCGGTGATCAATCAAAGAGGCCGAGGTCCCCCTTTGCGGCAGTGTGCTTGCGGCTGACAGGGGCTGATAATGGAGGAAGAAATAAACTGTCGAGCAAAGTTAATTAGTCAACATAATAGGTGGATTAAACAGGAGCCTGCTGATGGCTGTTTCACATGTTGAAGCATGAGGTGGGAGCTGAAACTGCAATTAACAGACAATTATTATATTTGGTTGTAAGAGGTCGCATGAATAAACATATCTCAGTGGGTTTCAATTTTTAATCCCCCTTCCTTGTTTAATATAAGGAGAAGTGTAGGTCATTTCTTCTTATTGTTTTAGCTAAAGTTCTGGAAGGCAGCACATGTTCATGGGAAGCTGGCTTGTAATCAGGCTATGGGTCTCACTGAGATGTTCTGGAACTGGGTACACTGGCATTTTCTTTGAATGCGGGGTAATGTGGAACCAGTGAGAAACAGTGTCTCAACCAAACATTTTTAAAATTGATCCAATTATTTGAAAAGGAGACATGTTTCCATCCCGTTTCCATTAGTTTATTGTGCCGGTTCATCACATTTATCTTTATTTGGGAGTACTGACTTTGGGAAGCCACTGAATTCAGCAGGCCTTATTTCTTATCATGCCATGCATATGATTGCATTGTTAATCTCTGATCTTCCCACTCGCCATGCAGCACAGAATGCCTTTTTAGGACATAAGACCTCCCAGACATCTGGAGGTTTACCTTTTGCCCACACTTAATCTAAATCAACCTTCTTCAGCAGCTCCCCAGAAGTTTTGGATTACAATTTTCAGTATGCTTGATGATTGTGTGTACTAGCATGGGCTGATGGAAACTGGAAGATACCAGACTGGAAAAAACTAATCTAAATGCAACATTTGGCAACCCCTTTTAACTCCCCAGTGAGCAAAAACTGTACAATAGGCATATATGTTATGATACCTAATGGGTTCTTAATGCAACTGAGATGAGCCACAATGACCGTTCACAGCCCAATCTTATGTTTTGATGCACAGAAGCTGAATAACTGCCTTGAGCACCATTTCTTGGTAGAAACGTGCGATATAAATAAAAATATATATGTTTATAGAAATTACTTGGTAACATGAGGTGATTTAGATCAGCTTTCTCCCACCTAGCACTCTCCAAATGTGTTGGAATCTGATTCTGATAGGCCTTCATGCTACCTGGGGGATTATGGGAATCATTGTCCGAAATATCTTGAGGTTGGGGAAGGCTGATTTGGAGGGCTGTGCTCATCTCATAATGTGTGCTGTAATGTGCCCTCCTGCAGCTCCAAAAAACATGTCTGAGATTTGCTGCTGAGCCTGTCAGCCAGACATTTACATATTTGCCAACCATAGTTGTGGTTTCAACTAGCCTGTGACTTCATGGTTCTGCATGTGTCTTACACAGTCCAGCAAAATGGTTTCTCCACTTTTCAGTGCTTGAATGAATGAGAAGTCAAAGTCTGCAGAGTGTGTGAATTCAAACTTGATTATTTGCTAAAGAAAATGGCTACTTGGATTTGAAAAGCACTATTCATTTAAGCTCTGAAATGCCTCTTTACACAGACGCACACACACTTGGGAAGAATTTGGGAGAAGTGCAAACACCCTGGCAGCTACAGCCATAACAGCATGATGAATACAGCTGCTCTCATCCCAACTTCACAGACCACACTTTTGTTTTTCTTTTGTTTTTGAATCAATTCTCATTTGCAATGACAACAGCTTTATCTACTCTGGCTTGCATGTGAAGGATGATGTGTGGTAAAATGCAGCCAGCTCTTAAGAAAAAGTTAATAAAGCTGCTTTTGTTAAAATGATGGTTAACAGTGTATGTTCCGCCATACAGCTACAAACTGTGCAATTTGACTTTAAATGACATCAAAAGCCTATGATGCCAAAGACCCACTCATCAATAGCACCTCTTGTTAGAGTCGTACAGTCTAAGCGCTAGTTATTATGCGAAATAGCTGTGCAATTTTCTGCAGCTCCCAGCTGTTATTTAAGATTCTGGGTTTATTACACTCTGTGCTTATTTGATTTTAAATTGTATTAAAGTGTTTCCTTTTATTACTGTTCCACTTGCAGGTTGTGGTATCTACAACAGTCAATGTGGATGGCCATGTCTTGGCAGTGTCGGATAACATGTTTGTGCACAACAATTCCAAGCATGGGCGGAGGGCTCGAAGGCTTGATCCTTCGGAAGGTACGCCTTCTTATCTGGAACATGGTAGGCATTTTTTGTTGGTTGCCATTGCTTCTTTAACTGTGGGTTCCTTGGGTTGTTGACCCTCCCCCCCCCAAATTTTGTTTTTTCATTGCTGTTAGTGGGATCAGCCTCTGAAAGGGTCAGTTTCTGTCTTTCTTTTTTAAAAGAGTTCTCAAATCTGATGCAACATTTTCAACCTATTTGGGTGGTTCCATACAACCAATTTGAGCAGTGATTATTGGTTCCTGAATTTATTGTGTGCAAACTCCTAACACTAAATATATTTGGGTTGTATCCCAAACTAGTTTAACTTAAGTTCCATTCATTTAAATGGGTCCACTCTCAGCCAGATTAACACTGAGTACACGCACGCCATTGCTTGTGCATCTGAAAGGGACACATTCTGTAGTTCCATTGCACAAAAATGCGCACAATGAGGGTCATATCCAATGTTGGTCCTACTTAAAGCAGTCCCATTGAAATAACCGATACTTCAGTTCAATTTGAATGGATCTACTCTAAGTATGAATTACAGTGGACTTAACCTAGAATGTTTCACATTGACAAGGCTGCTTCTCAGGGACACTCCTCATACAGAGAACAAAAGAGTGCCTTGAAATGTATAAATGCTGGGGTCATTATCATATGATAGTGACTGTGGTTATTTGGGAAACATGGCCATATGAACCCACCATTTACTTCAAGAAACAGTCTTCAACCAAGTAGTCAGATTTTGAGAAAGACCACACAACATCCGTGTATGTGTGTTTTGGGTGGTGAGGAGGAAGATTTTCACACTGTGGTTTAGCCCCAGAGCAAGATTAAGGGATGAGACATCCCACATACTCCGCTCTACCTCCCACCCCAAGACTCTCATTGACAGCCTGTTAGATTGTTTTCAGATATTCACAAGAAAGCACTCACATGGCCCTTTTGAGAATTATGTAGCAAGTAACTGACTCAGAAATAACTGAGGTCAGATTTCAATAAAGTGACCAGCAGACCAAATGTGATAATATGCATACATGTCCATCCCGTCACTTTGAGGCAGATTAGGGCACACAGTACCCTCTTGCATTTGTTGCAACACATTTTTAGACCTGATCAAAGAAATTCAAAATCATTGTTTCTCACCCCATTAAAATGAGACGTTATGGTTATTTATTTAAATATGTGTATCCTGCCATTTTTCCTTAAAAAGGTAGCCCAAAGAGAGTTACAATCCATAAAATAGGGCTATAAAAATGCAAAGCATGACCAGTTAATCCAAGTTAGCATAAAATTTTCAAAAGAACACAGACAGCAACCCATAGATGAAATAGCGCACTTACCAAAATGAAAGAGCACCAGTACATGATACACATCACCAGCACATATCTCCCTCAAGGCTGCTTTGGGACAGGACTGTCATATACTGTATGTCTGAATGCCATATGTATCTTAGGAGGTAGTTCATAGACTGAGGCCACCACTGAAAAGGTCCTTTTTCTCAGCACTGTCAGCCTAGTCTCTGACAGAGAAGGGATACTGAGAGTATCTCTGTATACAGGCAAACTGTTATAGGAGCAGCTGTCATTCAGGTACACTAGACCGATATGATTTAGGACAGCTTATCTAAACCCCAGATGCCTTCCAGATTTGTTAGACCACAACCTTGATCATCTGTATCCAGCTTGGGCAATGTGAAACCAAACTGGAGGGCATCAGGTTGGAGAAAACTTGGTTTGGGTTTTATGTTGCTAGTAAACCGCTTCACCGACTTGCTGAGAATTATTTCTTTTTAAATTAAAACAAAATTCTTATACAGGGAAACAAAAATCAACAGTATCTTTTAATTCATTGTATATTAACCATAGTGATTTTTTTCCATTCTATTCTCTAAAACAGCTTCCCTGACATGCCTCCATTCTGAACCTGGGACCACCTGATGATTTGGAGCAGAACCTCACCATCCCTGGCAATTCAGTTTGCTAGCCAGCATGATGGTGGTGGTTGTATTCCAAAATCTCTGGCAGGCACCAGGTTGGGAAGGCTTCACTAGCGAGCAATATCTTTGTGCAGGCTTATGATGGCCACAAACAGATGTCTACCCAGACCTGCACACTTTTCTTTTATATTTCTGGTTTTGTCATCTAAGCCATACCTCCCACATAAGTAAGTGTGGATTTGGTCAACCGCCTCTCCACAATTACAAGTGCTATGAGATAAGCTTCCAAGCCACAGCTGTTGGACATCTGAATTTGATTGTAGGAGTCCCCATTCTGCACATAATATACCAAAAAGGCAGCAGGAGCAGAAAGAGGACACGTTGTCTGACTCTAAGCTTCTCATCCTTATTTAACAAGGAATCAGTGCTGCCTCATGGCTCTGTTAGGCAGCATGGTTGGAGGCTTCTGACACTGCTGCTGCTTGAAGGAGTTTGAGAATGTGGAGTGAACGTGCACACAAACTTTAGGTGCTGGGTTCAACATTTCTCTCTTTCGAGCCCTTAAAGCTGCAGAAGAAGAAAGTTTAACAATATTGGCCAAGACTCCTAATCTGAAATCTATATTGCAGAAACAAAATACTTCTAAAGCAATACTTTTGTTTTAATGTTGATGAATTCCTGAAGCCTTAGGATAATTTTATGAATGTCATCTGGCAATATTACTTATTTGAAATACCAAAAAGAGCATCCTGCCAGATGGAAATTTTGTGCTGTCCAGATTTTGAGTATGTGTTCTTTTGTGTACTTTGCCTTCAAAACAGATAAACAAAGTTGCAATCCTACAGCTCATCAGGTTACTTCCAATGGACTGTAGGATACTGCTTCCTTTGGCTTGAATCAGGAGGAACTCCACAGAAAGCGCTGTCATTGTAGACAGACCAGTGGTGTTTTACCTGTAGTCAGTGGTAGGAAGGGTCATCCAGAGGAAAGTGCCAAGAGCAGGTTGGAGGAAAATTGGACCCAGAGAATCCTAAGCCCCCTTGTTCCCCTGCTTACAACAGAAAAACATGCCTGCCCAGGAGTTGGTGTAAAATGGCCACTCCTACTGCTGTCAGTAGAAGAGGGTGGATTCAAAACAGGCCAGGAAATAAGAAAAGAAAAACCTGACCCCTATCTTCTTCTTCTTGATTGGTTCAAACCAGCTTCACAAGTAGCATTTCCTCTGTTGTGGATTCTCCCCAGGTCACCTCCATAGATGCCCCGTCCTATGCATGAATACTTGCTTTGTGGTAACTGAGACCGGACATAATAGTGGGCATTCCTTCCAAGTAAACATGTAGGGTTGAGCTATTAGAGAAGCCATGTAGGGAAATCCATTCAGGGCTTTTGTGGCAGGTCGTTCCAGAATACAGGGATCTGGGATGCTACTCTTCCACCATTTCCACTGGAGGCAGCATGTGTAAACAAAAGGCTTTTCATGCATTGCATCTACATGCAAAGGATTTTTTTCACAGAGCTGCTGGTTACTAGTGATTGGTTACTTTCAGAAGAAGCTAGCTAAGATTTATCTCAAGGGAACGAAATGTCATTTTAAAAACCCCAAGGGAAATGTGCTTTCCCATCATTAGATGAATCTCCCTCTTTTGCCTCAGTATTAGTTTCTTACATTTTATATCTTACTATTTTACTTTACGTATATGCAAAGTATCCATCCTGATGTTACTGGAAATACACACATGAGTAAATCTGGTAAATGTATAATGAATCTGGTCCAAAAGTGTGCACTTCCTAACCCAAATTTTTTCGCTCAGCAGTGTTTCTTATTATATAAACATAACTTACATCTGTATTTATTTAGCTTTAACTTTTTATGTAGACCATGAGCCATTTTAGGCCATAATTCATACTATAGATTTTTTCCATCCCTGCCAGCAACCTAATTTAATAAACAAACCACTGTCATAATTTTTTGCTTGATTTTACTAAGGAATGTATGTAAACTGTAATTTTTTTAATTAGCGAAAGGCAAAGCTATGCAAAGAATAGCTATTCATTCATAAAGTCTCCTATCACAAAACTAGATATTTTTTTCTTTTTTAAGATAGAAACATAGAAACAGAGTGAGTCAGAAGGGCCTCCCAGGGCATCTAGTCTGGCTCTGCTCACGGCATGCCTACCAAGTGCATGTCTAGCCTATCCTTGAACTCCCTCATAAAGCAAGATGTTCCCAGCATCCTCAAAATGGTGAATCCTGAAGAATATCTACCAGTTATTAGGACAACATGCGATACCTTCACATTGGAAATATCCCTATTATCATACTTAGAGTAAAGCTCTCTAGTCTAAGTGTTCTCCATTCTTCCATTCCAGGAGGTGAGGGAATATGTGGAGGAGAAAAATCTCATGAGTTTAGCAACAGTGGTTGCTTATAGTAGTCAATCCCAAACTCTAGAGTTCTACAATTATGTTCTAAAAATGGATCTAACCCATTACCTTTCTGTAGCCACTCTAAATGTTTTCCATTGACTTACTTATACAGTTTGGAATCCATTGGTGCACGTCCCCTTTCAAAAGACCACTGCACTAGAAATATTGCCCATAATAGGGGCAGCTGCACAATTAATGAGCATGAAGGGCCCGCTCCGACCCTTCATGGATAGCAGAGAGGGTGGCAGTAGCCCTCATAGCTGGTTAAGGCTTGCTCCATCCTGAGGGAGCAGCCCCATGACAGCAGGGCCTGCTTGCTGCTGGCCTGGGCTGTCGGCCTTGCACCCATCACCTGTCCCCACTGTGGTTCTGGAAAAGCTACTGAACTCGTGAGCAGGTAGAGAGCCAGCCGGCCCAAACTGTACCCTCCAGCATGACTCGTGCATTTGCATGTGTGCGTGAAGGAGATGCGTTGCAGGACTGCTTTGATTTGGTCGTGAGCAGACACCAGGCTGAGTGGTGAAGTGTTGGAGGAGGGAACTGCACGTGGCCTGCCCTGCACCCTGTCAGCTGGGCCACTGCTTTTCCCAGCAGCTGGATGGCGCTGCTCGCTCCCAGGGCTCGAACAACAGGGAGCTCTTGCCAACAGGGACCAGCTCATCCCTTG